GAAGAATGTATGCAATGTGTTAATTATTGAAACTGTCCTACCAATTTGGTTTGAAACTGTCTCATTGCTATTTGTTTCTCAATAAAATTATGGAAAAAAAATAAATAATAAAGGATATTAGAGTCTAAATCTCTAAGAAGTAAGGTTACTTGGAAATCAGCTTATATTTAAAAGCTTGTTTTAATGCTCTTCTAGGGCAGTTGTATACAGCAGCTTTTAGTGTAGGGCTTATTTTTGTCTTTTTCTTGGTATGCAGTTCATGCTGGCCTTAAGCACCCTTTGTAGCCCAGGCTGGTCTCAAAGTTATAATGATCCTCCTGCCTTAGCAGTGATTACAGCCGTGTGCCAGGCATCACTTTCAGCTTAGTGTAGGGCTAATTTAGCCTTATCTACAGACCTTTTTAAGGTCTTTACTGACTGCTCTGCATATACAGTAAGGCTTCTCCATTTTCCTGGTGCATTGAGTGATCCTTAATGCTGTGATTTAGTATTCAGCTAAAAATCAGAGATCCCCACGAGTAGGAATTCATTTAACTTTTATCTTTCAGTCTGCCTTACATACTGCAGTCATGTGCTCTCCTAGTTTTCTACTTATATATCAGTATGTACTTCCATACATACTTCAAAAATCATTATATTCCATTTCAACGGCAAAATGGATTCATTAGGTTTCTAAATGAAATTACATTAGATATACACTCACCTTGTACTTTTTCATAATTGCATTGCTTTCAAAGTTAGCTGTTTCTTCCATGAATCGACCTACTAGTAGTGTAGCTCGACCAAGGATTAACATGTTCTTACTCTCAGTTGGGGTTTTATTTTCAGGAAAGTATAATTCAACACCTTTCTGGAGAACAATAAGTGCTTGATGAACATCACCCTAAAAGAAAAAAAAAAAGAGGGGGGATAATAATAACAAGCCTTTTAAGAACATATTCTTATTTTCTGAAAAACAAAATTATTTGAATTTAAAGTTCATTACACATATTTAATAACAAATTCACATGTAATTTTATGCTTATCTCTTATTACTTTCCCCCCACTGTGAGACAGGGTCTTGAGCTCAACTGCTTTATAATTCAGACCTCCCTTCAGCTCACAGCAATCCTCCCACTTTAGTTAGTCTTCAGAGTGCTGGGATTACAGATATGTGCCTCCACACCCCCAGTTTCTCATTTTATACAAGCATAAGAAAAACTAAAGAAATATACAAGCAAATTGGAATAGTAACCATAAAGAAAAATCTCTGAGTTTAAATAACACATAGTGTAGGGAAGTGCTATCACAGAGGAATACACATTATAGAGGTTAGAGAAGGCAGTCCTCTAAATGTACCTGATCATATAGGAAAATGGAGGATAGAAAGAATCAGGAAAGTTTGCAATGGGGAAAAATCTAAATTAAGTATTAGAAAGTGAGCAGAAATTTTCCTAGCAGAGAACTTAGTGAGACATTCTAGACAGAAATAATTTTAACTGTGAGAAAAAAAAGTACAGACAAGCTCGCAACTTACGTTGATTTCCACTTACAATTTAAAAAAATTTTTTTTCTTGAGACAGGTCTCATGTGCTGGTCAGGCTGACTTTGAGCTCAATTTGTAGCCCTGACTGGTGTTGAATTTGCAACAATCCTCCTTCCTCAGCCTTCCAAGTCCTGGGACTACAAGTGTGCACCACCATGCCTAGGCTTGACTTTTCTGTTTTTTTGGATTTTTGTTGTCATTGGTTTGTCCTTTGAGACTAAGTTTTACTGTACAGTTTAGGCTGGCCTCGAACTCACAGCAATCTTCCTGTCTTAGCCCCTAGAGTCATGGAATTACAGGCATGTACCACCATGCCTGGCCGCTTTTCCTGACTTTTCAAGGGTATAAATGTCACATATATTCTGCAGAAGCCATACTTCAAATTTATTTCTTTACCAAGCTTTTATGATGAAAAAGAATTTTATATACTTTATGATCGGTGTTTTAATTATTTATCTTTATTAGCACATACTTGTAGTACATTAACTGCCATGGTTGGGGTTTTTACAAGGTGAGCAATACAACACAGGACACATTTTATAAGATTATTTTATAATGAATCATCCAAATAATCATATACAAAGAATGGAAGAAATCTGTCCACAAACTAAAACTGAGGCTTGGACTTCACAATAATGTCCTGTATGAGTCCAGCTGAAAACCTAGAACTCATTAACAATGCCTTCCACAAGTCCAACTGGAGGCCTAGAGCCCACAACAATGTCTCATGCAGGCACGCTTCACAGATCTGTATTGGATTTTTTTCCCCCTGCTGGCTCAGGCTGCCTTAAGGGCGGGTCTAGTAAGGCCTGTGGATCTGGGGATCAAACCACAGTATCTGGAGCCTGACTGCCTTTGCTTAAGCAGGCACTTTGAGCTAATGGGCAGGCCCCCTCACAGATCTGTATTGGGAAGGCCAAAAAAGGTCAGTGGTGGAAACCAGAGAGTCTATGCCAGCGGGATGGAGGATCTGTGCTAGCAGGCTTGGGGATCTGAACTGGAGTTAGGAAGCAATGCTTAAGAACCAGAGTGCCCCTGAAAAGTACCACAGCCATCCTCAGCAACAGTGAGGTCCCAAGCTACTCCACAGATGAGGAAAGCTGAGTTCCCATCAGGAAAGCCAATGTGAAAAGCTTCTAGAGACTGAGCTGCACACGATCTTCCCCTTTGGAGTCAAGAAGCAATGCTCAAGATGAGGATCAGAGCTCCCTCAAAGTGAACTGTAGCCATTCTCAGTGACGAGATTCTGATGAGAACACCCAAGTTCACCAGGAAAACCAGCATGACAAGGTTCCCCAGCAGAATAGCCAAACCAGCAGAGAACCAAGAGGTCCTAATGGTTCCAACAGCTTCTCCAAACAGCTTCTCTAGTTCTGCCTCTTATGCTGCTGACAACAATCCTCCGGTGGCCTCCCATACCTAGCACCAGGCTAGTTCAGTTCAGCTGGGTGTAACAAGCTGACCACAAGCTGGCAATCCACTACAATAACGATTACATTAACTGTAAGGAATAGGTAGGTACATGTACATAACACATTTCAATTCTTTGTTTTGCCTTCCATTTTATGTTCTTGCCAGCATCAGCTTCATTTATTTTTAAGTCCTTACAAAATTATCACACGTACAGATTAACAGCAAGACTAGAAGGCCAAAAAACATTTTAAAAACCATGTAAGACTATTATACTAAGTCAAGGCACACTTTTAGATACACTGCCCATGATGAATTACAAGAAATTTTTTTTCCTGTATTTTATTTCGTAGTTTATATACTGAATTTCTCACATAAGAGAAACCATACATTTAAGCTGTATGTCTCATTCAGTTTACATTATGGTCTGAAGGTATACCAATTTTCCTACAAATGATTCAGGCTTATCTTTCTTTATGGCAGACAAGTACTCTACCATAGATACCACTATGTATAGATACCACTTCTTTAATCCATTCATCTGCCAATGGACATACAGGCTGCTTCTAAGATGTAGTTATTATTAATTGTGCTGCTATAAAAATGGGCATGCATGTATCATCTTGTATAATGCCTTAAACTCTTTTAAAAAGGGGAACAGCTGGATCAACTGGAAGTTCTATTTTTAGCTTTTTGAGGAATCTCTACACTGATTTCCATATTGGTTATATACAATAAAGAAGAGTTCTTTTTTCTCCACAGCCTCACCAGCATTTGTTACTGGCTGATTTCTTGATGGAAGTCATTCTTTCTGGAGTGAGACAGAATCTCAGTGTTGTTTTAATTTGCATTTCTAAAATGGCTGGCAATGTTGCCCATTTGTTCATTTATTATTTTTTAATCTTTTATTTATTTATTTATTTGGTACAAGGTCTTGCTATGCAGCTTGGACTCATAGTGATCCTCCTGTCTCAGCCTCCCCAGTGCTGGGATTACAGGGGTGTGCTTCCACGCCTGGTCTTAGTGGCCAGAATGACATGAGGTACCAGGGATCAAGCCTAGGTCCTCATTTGGCAGGCAGGTGCTTAGACCATCAAGCTATCTGCCCAGCCCAACATTTGTTCATTTATTTATCAGACATTTGTACTTACTCCTCTAAGATGTGTCTCTTCATTCCAATGCCCCTTTTTTGGGGGGAGGGTGAGCTCTAACTTTGAGTTCTGTGTATATCCTGGATATCAGTCCTTTGTGTGAGAGGTAGCTGGTAAAAACTTTTTCCCAACCTGTAGGTCATCTTTTCAGTATGCAAATAGTGAATTCAGACCTTGTCCTGGGCTTCTGTGGGATACTCTCTAGTGATCCTGGCAGTGGTAGTCACAATTCAGATTGCATGTGAGCAAGATGGCAATAACTGATACTCTGTTAATCCCCTTTATCTGTGGGGGTACATTTCAAGAGCCCCAGAAGAGCATGTCTGGAATTATGAATGGTACCAGATGTTCTTTCCCTATATGCATATATTTAGAATAAAAATTTAATGCATAATGTACAGTAAGAAAGTAACAACTTAGAATAAAAGAAAATGATGCTACAGTAAAACTCATTTAAGACTTAAGAACTCAGGTGTGGTAGTGCATGCTAGTAATCCCAGCACTCAAGAGGCAGGAGGAAAGTTGAGTTCAACCTGGGCTATACATACAGAGTTCCAGGCTACCCTAGACTATAGAATAAAACTTTAAAAGTGTATGAGTATTTATTCCTGCTATTTCCTTTTTAGTATTTTTGAACAGATTATTCACAGGTAAGTGAAACCTCAGGTGAATAAAACCACAACCATTGAAAGTGAAACCAAGAACAACAGAACTGCTGTAATACTGTGCTGTTAAGCTATGATAACCAATAGGTTAGGCTTATTAACTGCACCTTGACTTAAAAGAAATAGGTATTAAATATTAGATACAAGGGAAAAATAAAATAACTGGCTATTTTCATCTAGAAAAATGTAGGGGAGATGAAAAATGAAAGTAAAATAAAACAAAATATATTTTTAAACTTGAAATGAGAAGCATCTGAATTCTGCTCAATAGGAAGAACAATTTCTCCCACATTATAGTAGATAAATAAAGAACAGAAAAATGACAGGAAAAAAATTGTAAATTTGGTTCAGGGATCTTCTCTGTTGGGCCACCATAGTCAGTATGTAATTCTCAATAATAGATTCACCTCATGAAATTCCCTTGGTCATTACCTTGGACCACAGCCATTTTGCTCTCTCCACACATAGTTCGGCGAGCCGAGATTCTCCTGCATTTAGGAGAGCATTGTAGGCTGTCTGGTGGTGCCCTGCCTTTCTAGCCACTCTGGCACTCTGTAGCCAGCACTCTCCAATCATCTCATTGTAATCTGGTCTGAAGGGTTGTGACAAAACAGAGTAAAAGAGCATTTGTCAGTATTTGTTGTTGGTATTAACTAACTTAATTAAAATTATCTCTGCCCAACACAGGACATTCTCAATATACAATTTCCCAGTATCAGTGATTTTTTCAATTTAAAAATCCTTATTTTAATTTGTTTATGGTGCTGTTTCGTTATAAAACTAAGAATTATTGAAAAAATTTTAACATTAAACATTTAACATTGATTTATATTAAGATGTAGGTTTTTTGCAATTATAAAGTATGGCTTGGAGGATTGCAACAGAAAAATGCAGTCAGACAGAAAATTAGTAAAAATATAATCAAATACTGTAGCTTCCAAACACTAAATTCAAGATAATTGTCAGTAAAAAGTAATGTGAAAACCTTTTGTTGAGGCTTAATAATGCCCTCCTGAGTGCAAGGATGGGTTCCTTAGCTCTGTAGGAATTCTGGGTCATTTCTAGTCGAACTGCCCAGTTCAGAGAGTCTTCTTGAAAACTGTCACCTGGAGACTGGTGAAACAGTGGTCTGATGCTATGTTCCAATTCACACAACATGTGCAATCTGAAGATAGATACAGCCTATGTTAAAATCTTAATATATTTAGTTTTATTAATCTCATAAATTTCATATTACATAAAGCATGTATTTCAAATTAGCTGTGAAGATTGAATGTGCAGTTTCTTTGGTATAATTTCAATATACATTCTTGCTATAAAACCAGTAACACTGATATCTTTGATTTCAAATTGAGTTTTAAACACTAACTTATCTTAGCTAAAATACTTAGTCCTTTGCTATGATTCTGAAATTTTTATGAATTATATTAAGAATAGCATATAAGTCTAAATAGAAATGTATAAAAATTGAACTTTACAACTTAAATGAAAATTTGAAAATATAGACCTACTATAAATCAAAATAATTGCATATTGTTGGTGACAGATTAAAGTACCTGGCACAGCAGCAGTCAATAAAAATTGTGAAATGAATGTAGTTTTTTTCACAGAAACTGCTGTACATTCACACTAACTGCCCCCACTTACATAATAGTGTCTATGATTCACTGTGCAATGCATAAGGATATTGCTTATCATCCAAAAATCAGAATTAAGTTTAGTGGCTCAATCTCTGGTTTCATTAGGATATCAAACAAAGGCACAAATACCAAATACAATGAGTTCTATCTGAAAAAAAAAGCATAATTACCTTTTAAATATCTCATAGTTCAATTACAGAACTTATTTTTTTCTTTTTTTTTATAAGAAGTTAATAGATTGAAAATTTCCACCATTGTTTTCCTCACATTTAAAAGTTAATAATTTTTTTTCTGACAATGTAATGCCTTCCTGTGTGTATGATACATTTGTGAATAATTAGGGAAGGGAACCAGTAAGTACCAAATGCCTGGCTGGTAAGTACATAGATGCCTCACTATGTAGATCGGACTTGTAGTGATCCTCCTGTTTTCAGCATCCTGCTGGGATTACAGGCACGTGCTATCACGCCAAGTCAAGAGGATGTAGGTTAGAAAATTTGTTTTAAAAAATTATAGGGAGGGGCCGGGGAGATAACTTAGTAGAATAAGCACTTGCTTAGCAAGCTTAAGGGCCTGAGTTCAATCCCTGGTTCTGCCAAAAACAAACAAACAAACAAACCAAAAACAAACAAACAAACAAACCAAAAAAAAACAAACAAACAAACAAACAAACAAACTATAGAGAGGGCTGGGGAGATAGCTCAGTGCATAAGTACCTGCCTAGCAAGCACAAGGTCCTGAGTTTGATCTCGAGTACTGCAAAAAAGAAAGAAAGCAAGAAAGCAAGACAGACAGACAGAGAGACATACTATAGGGTGACTGTGAGGTAAAAAGAACACAAGAGTCAAAATACAACACATATTATCAGAATTACTTATTCATTACAAAATTCAAATCCTACCAGGTAGCATTCATAGACCAGGTATATAAAAATGGGAGTCCCAGATACCTCACAATATATTCATATCCTCGTTGGTAAGAGCCTCTTTCAAAGCTTGCAGCTGAAAGAGGTACAATTTGCTCTGCTCTCACTAGTTTCAGTGTGTCATACAAAGTTTTGGCATCTCTTTTTTTGGCTGATAATAGTAACTGTCCCAGTCTGACACTCCATGATGTAGATTTTCCATCTGAAAATCAAATGGACAGTCAAGAAATGTCATGGTAGGTGGGTCTAAAAGCTAGCTTTACTTCATCTCATCGAATGGTCAGCAGAAACACCAAACCATGCTTCACTCTACCTTGAACAATGAAACAGGCAAATGTAAAACAGGCTAAGAGATCAATTATGAATGCTGCTAACTACTTAAGTCTGAATATACATGGCAAGTTAAAACTGCTTATATTTCAGAGTACTTCACCTGCTACTAAATAATTTTCCACCAAATCCCACTGTGACAATTTCCAAGCTGCTTCCACTCTGTACGTATTCAGTTCGTCTGTCCATTCAGACCTATTTAAAGAAGTCATATAAAGTAAATATTAATTTATTTAAATTTAAAAGTATTTAAAATTTTTAATTGGTTCAGACATTCTATTTATTATATCCATTTTTTAATTACCATACTTGTATTTTGTACTTAGGTATATAGTAATTATCACTACCCAAAAGCAAGAAAATTTTAACATCTTCATTCTTCAAAAACATTTTTTGGGCTGGCCAGATAGCTCAGCGGATTAAAGTGCCTGCTCAGACAGATGCAAAGACTGGGGTTTGATCCCTGGCTTGCTGTGCTGGCCCTGCCTCTGAGCCCCACTCAGATGGCAAACTGAGACTGGGTGTGGTGGCGTATACCTGTAATCCCATCGCTTGAGAGGCTGAAAACAAGAGAATCACTATGAGTCTGATCTGTGTAGTGAGAACCTGTCGACCCTAGACTACATACATTAAAAAAAAAACAAAACAAAACCAAAAACCCCCATTTTTTATTAAGGACTTCTGATACAGCCTTTAAAAAAAAATGACATTCCTTCACAAATTAAGTTGTACTATATATAAGAACAGAGTTAATTCTTGGATAATAACAGCCCACTGACAAATTATCTATATACTTAACTTGAATAAAGAGCATGGGAGGAGAAACAGATGAATTCAGAAACAAGCAATTTTAATAATTGAGAATTCTGAACTAAGTTTAATACAAAAATAGAGGGGCTACAGTTGTAAATAGGGGGCAGTTGGGGGGCTGCATAGGGTACTCTGCACAGAGAGTATAAGAAAGTTGCAATTGTTGGCCAGAGATGTAGCTCAGTGGCACAATGCCTGCATGGCAAGCTTAAGGTAAAAGAAAGGAAACTTGCAAATGCACTAAGCATGATGGTACAGGTCTATAATCCCAGCCCTCATGAGGCTGATTCACTTATACTCAGGAGATTGACACCAACCTAATCAACACGGCAAGGCCTTGCCTGAAAAAAAGTTACAAATGATGTATCGATGACCTAACAAAAGATACAAAATTAGCTACCTATATTATATATCTATTACTTTAAAATTTGGGTTTGCAAAATCTATGATATAAACTATTTTCTTTAAGAGACTGGGTCCCAGTCTGGTGTGGTGGCACAAGCCTATAATCTTTAAATTATTTATTTATTTATTTATTTGTGTGTGTGTGTGTGTGTGTGTGTGTGTGTGTGTG